GTGGGGTTTTTTTTTGCTTCTATATTTGTAACAATGTTTAAACTGCAAGCGCAGAGGCCGGCAGCAGCAGGCAGGGAACGTTGGAGTCCTCCCTCACTGAAGCAAGCAAGCCGCATGTTCTCTTCAAGCTGCCTGGCTGCCGGCCGCCATCTTGGCTGGCAGTTAATTTGCATATCGCCCTGATTAGCCAATGGGAAGGGTAGTGGACGTATGGCTAATTACCATGTTTCTCTTTTATTAATAAGATAGGATTCTCTATTTTATAACTCTAGAAATTACCCAGTAAGATTACTACTTTAAAAACTCAGTCTGTTTAGATTTATAAATACATTTTTGCTCTATTTCTTTCTTGTAGCTCATACGTCCTTAATGAAATCATTGATTTCTTTCTGAAGAGTCTTTTGGTAGCCCAAAGTCTTTTGGTAGTCCTAGAAAATAACTTTATTTTACTGTCGTTTTTGAAAAATAACTTCTTTGGGTACAGAATTCTAGACTAACAGCACTTCAAAGATGCCATTCCACTGTCTCCTGGATCCCCCTGTTTCTGAGAAGAAATCATTAAGTTTGTATATGATTTTTAAAAAATTCTTTCTTAGAATTCCTAAGCCTTAATTTAATGTTTAAATCTTTAGCAGTCTTAGCTAATAACTTTGAAGTCTGCTTTTACATTATTCTCTAGTTCTCCCCATCAGAATCCCAATTAAACATACATTAGATCTTTTCACCCTATCTTAATCTTTAATCTCATCTTTAGGCTTTCCTATCCTTCTCTCTTTGGACTGCATTCTGGTACTTTGCTCAGTTCTATATTTCACTGATCCTATATTCAGCCATGATTAATCTGCTATTTAATCCATTCACTGCATTACTCATTTCAATTATTACATCAGCCAGGGCTCAATACTCATTTCTGGATACCAATGAATTATCTCCAATAATTTGAAAATACGTGAATCTAATTCTATTTAGTTTTGTTGCTGGATTGTTTGTTTTTTTAAAATGTATTTTTATTGATTTCAA